TATACTTTTAATCAATTCTAATACTTTGGTCTGAACACACAATTTTGAATTTTAGCGGCCTTCTTTGTTGAATACAATAACAAAAGATACACCTAACCTAAAAAAGTGTTAAGGGCTAAAGCGCATGCGAGTTAGCGCGGAACAAAATAAGATATACTGCGATGAATGGCTCGTGTAACAAGGATGCCCATATGATTGCCACCTCTCTTATTTTACTTACTCTATGCTAGAGGCTTCATTGCTCGGAGTTTGCATAAATCGGTCCGCAGGTTGGAGAATTCATGATCTTCCACATCAGATCCAACTACTACGTCGACAAATTCAACTACTTGATCATCGCCAAAGGCATCATCCTGATCACGGGCGATCAGGACATGAACGACTTTGTCAGCACCATGTCCATAGCGCTGAGCGCTGAGATGGCTCCAGTAGCTACCATAGTTGTCTGGCATGTCGGGCGCTACGGCGATCTAGCAGTGGACAGTTTAACGTTTCCGGTGAACGGTATCAGCCGCAATAAATTCAAAGTTTTGATCAACAATAAGAAAGCCAGGTAGGTGGAGTTCAGCCGTTTGAACAGTAGTTAGTGTAAAACTGGTTGAAAATGCCGTTATTTTAGGACGGGACATAAAGTCGAAGTGGTTATCTATGGAGAGCCTGGTTCATATGTAGGCCTATCGGGAATCGATCGATCTTTCTACACTATGCAGGCCGGCAACGAACTAACTTATGCGAAAGTGATCACCAAAATGATGACTTTCGATGAACACATCAACGGGACTTTGCAGCACGCCTGGATGTCGCACGAAGGTACTTTGCAGTTCCAATTGGGAACGATTAAAACCTTCAGCCAGTTAAAGCTAATTTCATTTCCAGGATATCCGGACGAATTGATTTATTTCCCTTCCAGCACGTTCGGAATCGATGCCAATCGTACGTTTGAGTTTGCAGGGTTGGTAGTTTTCAGCGACTTTGAGCTGACAAGGAGGCCCAGTTTTTGCAACGAATCGCTCGGTAAACCGGTTTCATTTCTTGGGAGTTCTCGGTTTGATTTCATGTAAAAATTGCAGGCTTCGGTGAGTGTCTCAACAGAAGATGCTACAGATTGAGCAAAAAATGCGACTACTACATGGATTGTGAGGACGGAACTGACGAAGCTGGATGTAAGCGCGCAAAGGAAAATAGTGCTGTTAAAATTCAGCTGGTTTAACTTTCCAGGTAGTTACGAGAACGCCACTGAACTGTCCCTGTTTAGAAAGTTCCGCTTCAACCGGATTCAACGCCAGTATGAAAATGTGTGGGTTTGGAAAGATGTGAACATCGGGCCCCATGGGCGCTACATTTTCAACATAGACGTTCCAGCTCGGTAAGGAAAATTCGGCAAAATTTCCCTTTGAAAAATGACTAACGCCTTCACCCGTTCAGGCCTGCACATTGGATGGTGTCGGCGTTTTCCATGAGCCCCACTCTGGGCTTCGGAATGCTAAACAAGGCAATCGAGTATGTGGGAGTTCTGCCTTTCTTCATCAATGTCGAAATGCCCAATCTTTGCATGCAAGGTGGGCACTCTGCTTTTGCATCCGCTAAGCAATTAATGATGTTTGGCAATTACAGGCGAACAAGTGGGTGTGAGAGTTACGGTCTTTAACTACATGGAAGATAACATGGAGGCCACGGTCGTTCTAAAGGGCTCGCAGGATTACAAGTTTGTCCATGTGGAGGAAAACGGATTCGTTAAAGCCTATAATCCGCGCACTTCTCA